AAAGACAGAGAGAGAGAGTTATAAATACATACCATAAACTTTGTTATTGTTGTTACTTAGATGTCATAACTCACTTTTCTTCCATCTGGCTGAGTCATACTATTAGCTTTTTGCTAATGCAGCTATCTCTCTAAGCATTAATGTTTATTCCTTTGTGGACTTCAGATTTTAGCTTCCAACCGAACTTAATCACGCCGCTACCTGCCCGCTCTTTTTTATTCCATCAGCACTTTTGAGAACATCCCCCACATTTGTGTTGCTATGGTGATCACGGCCACCTCAACCCCCTGAATGACTCCAGATTAAAAAAACCAAAGGCTAATTAATTAAATACTTTCCAGTCCAGGGCGGGAATAGGTGTCTCGCTTGGCAGGCACAGCCTGCCCATTCACGCCATAACTGCTGGGACTGAAATTTTGCCCCAGTGCTAAGTTTCAATTGTAAGAAGTTTGAGATGTTTATTCAGTGTGCAGCCTTTTTCCAATTTTTCATACAGATTATTAATGATATTGGCTTTGACTTTACCCTGGATTTTACTTTCTGACACTAAGCGATGGATTGACTGATGTTTAGGAGATGTTGAAGGGCCATTTGTTTCAGCTTTATCACAGCTAGCCCCCTACCCAAATAAACAGTGGGGTTAAAGGTGGATTCAACTGTTTTTGGTTGGATGTGACTCAGTATTGCTGTAGGCATGTTCTGCTGTTTTGCTGGCTTAGCTGTGGATGTGTTCTGGGGCGTGGGGGGCTTGTTTTTAGGTTTTCTTTTAATGGGACACTGTTAACTATAGACAAGGATCCAGGAAGTTGAGGTGTGTTGGTTGCGCAGGGTATTCTTGTTGTAGGTGCTGTAATAGGCTGACAGGTTGACTACTTTTGTTGAGGAAGGAAAGAGAATTACTCTCTGTTGCCTCAAGGCCCCTCTGTAGTTCCTTTTTGTTGCGGTTTGCTGATTCTTCAGTTGCTGGGCTAGTTTGCAAGGTTAGGGTGATCCTGGGTGGTGGTTCTTTTTGTATGGAACAGTGACTCCAGTATAATTTTATCCCAAGTGTACTTCACCTTTGTTAACCTGCTTCAAAAGCATTACATTTGAGTGATTCATGAGCATAAATGTCAAGTTCTTAAACATCTAATTTGCTTTTAATTCTCTTTTAGAATAAGTATTAAATATAATAGTCACATCTACATGTTGTAGATATATTGCAATTGAGTGTCTTGCCTGGCTTGTCCCACCGGACACGCCAAAAAGGTGAAGGTGTTTATGTTTTCAAATATGTAGTCCTTTTGAGGAATTATCATTTTTTATTAATTAAAACCATTCTACATGTGTTATTAAACTCTCAGTTGTACTGGCTGTTCTGAAAACAGAGAGCGCATTCAAATTCATTGAGATTTTGGATTATGAGAAGAAATTAGTTACTTTGCCAAGTAACTAGTTACTTTGATTTAGCAGTATTAGATCTTTTTTTGGCGAAGTTATTAGTAACCATAATCAGTTACTTTTTGTTTTACATATATTTTATTATATGTAGGCTCTTATGGCCATTATTTAAGTTTTTTTTTTTTTTTAAACTAGGCAGACATGAAATGCAATTAGTCAAAGAGGGACAAGACATGCAGCAAAGGTCACCAGGGTGGGACTGGAAACTGTGATGGCCGCGTTGAGGACTAAAGCCTCTGCATGTCTTTAATTCCTGCACCACTGCTCTGCCCTATAACTAGTTACTATTTCAAAGTAGGGTTCACATCACTGTGCACTGGTAATGTTTAGTGTTAGGGTAAGGGTCTGTGTACAGCCATAGAAATTAAATGGAAGTATATGGAAATTCCCCTTAGTGGGGCAAAATGCGTGTGTTCGTGTTTCAGAATAAGAGTGAGGACCAGTGTCGGTTTTAAACCCTTGGAATGGGGATATTTTTACCAAGTGAGGACATTTTTGGACGGTCCACTGTCAGACGGGTTAAGATTATACTTATGTTAGGGTTGATGATGACTGAAAATGGTAGTCAATGGGAGTCAACCAGTACATATAGAAAGATTAGAGTGTATGTGTACTTGTTTATATTACAATTCAGGAATTTTTAAAATATATTTACTAACCTTCTAAGGACCAACAGGCCTTATGGAGACCAAAGTTCTCTGCCCACATGAAGGGTGGGCTGATCCTATCTTGTTGTTCAGCTGAGGGGTCTGGTGTGGTTTCAGGGCTCAGTGGTGTCTGCCCTGTTGCATGTGAATGTGTTGCCTTTGGTGCCATTAAAGGGGTTCTGTTACCTTTCCATTGTGTTGAACTGTGTAGAGGGTTTTACTTGGTGTCAGGTGCACGGCTTGTTCTCTGTGGGTGTACTCTAGTAAGTTTTTGCTCTTTTTTGGGGTGGAGTATGTCTCTGCGGGAGGAAGATCAGTGGAGTTTGGGGTATGAGCTTGGGGGGCAAGAATGTTTTGTCCTTGGGTAATCTCGTTGGCTGGCTTCTGTCTTCCTGCATTGCTTCACTAGCAAAATTCAGTAGAGCCTTTTTTTTCCTTTTCACAAAAATATTTTTATATATACATCCCATGGGAGTGCAAAACCTGTGCACTGTATTTATGATTTTACAAGTAAACACTTTCTTTTCAAAAGTTGCAAAAGCCGTTGGTATGTGCAGTTACATTTAATCATGTTTTTTAAGAATTCATCTAGTTCTTGTCTTCATATCTCATGGGGAACTTATTAGGTTTCAGAACAGAGGACCTAGAATTTAGGCAAGACAGATAGTGGAATACTTAAAATGTTTTTTTCACAAATGGTCTGTGGATTTGTGGTATTAGCGACCAGGGTGTCTATAACAGGAATGTCTACCACAATAATCTGATGGAGGATGATCATGAATGCATAAGTCACTAACCAGGTTTGACAGCTCAGTCCATGCCCAGAGAACAAGGACAATTCCAGCAGGTTGGCTGACAAGACACACTGCCAGAGAGTTCCAGCTGCAGAAGCAAAGAAGGCTGCAGAGCTGACAGGAGAAGACAGGATAATCCACAGGGTCAAAGTAAACCAGCAGATCCAGGTTCAGTCCACAAAAGAATCAAACAGGTGTCTGAGAACAGGCCAGGCAAACAGATCAGACAGGGGCAGGCAGTCTCAAAGGTCCAAATACAGAAACAGATCAGGAACAGACAATCAGAACACTATAGAAATGCTAGAAAACTCTCAACACCAAAGGCTTAAGAATAATCTGGCACTGATGGCTGGGACCAAGGAGTTTTAATAGAAGCAGGAGCAGGTGGATCAGATGAGCAGTGATGAGGAACCTGGCAGAGCTAGACAGTTGAATGAAATGAGCAATTGCGCCAGCCATCAACGCAGAATCATGACAGAACTTTCCAGATTACATTTTTGAATAATGTATTTTTTCAGCCATCTGCTTGTAAACCATCCTTCTGGTTTTCTTGTTATACTGTAAGCTTTCAATAGTCTGGGTAGTCAGGTTTCTTTTCCTTTTTGATGTATTGCACGATGATTGCATAGATAAAAATGAGAAATAAATAACATTAACAAAACTTTTCTAATGCTATTTTTATGAATCTGTGCTTGTAATATAATCAGGTGGAGGTGGTCTTATACAAATCAAAGCCAATGAGTCATAGATTAAAATTGTTCTTCTAAATTTACATCAGAGCAGAATTATTACTCCAATATATCCACCTATGTTATTGGTACTAAATTTTGTATGACTGCTCTAAATCCTATGAGACCACTTTCTTTTTTTTTGGCAGCTGATTAGAGGAGGGCAAAGCACCTAAAACAACTGCTGGTAAATCGTCTTAAGGGTAAGATAATGTATTTGACATTTTCTAATGATGATTGTGAAACATAAGATTTGATTAGGATTTATAAGATGGTTAAATTTCAAGCAGGGCCCCAAATGTTCAAATTGATTGCTAATGAGTCAGATCAGTTTGGTATAATAGAGTAACTTAAGCCTTTCAGTCAAAAATGTCAAGTGAAAAACCTTAATGGTGATATGATACTCTGAAGTACCGAGCTCACAAATCCACTATCACGGCTGACTGGCAGCATCACTAATATTGCACTTGAGAGCTAAGCATCTGAGTAAACAGACATTGCATCTCCTTGATTCCTGGTTTGACTGAACTAAATGCACAGTGCAGGGCAAGCGGAACATCCTTACACTGCAAATGAAAAAGACAGCTATGGGTGTGTTAACAGAGAAAAAAACCCAAGGGCCTTTTGCCAGCAGAATGATGAAGAACATTTATTTGCAGCGGCGAGACAGACACCAATCCCTGCAGTCGCCCGATGATGATGACCCAAATGGCAATCGTCAATCGAGCAAGTTCTCAGTTCAGTGATGACAAACCCAGATAAAAGCCGACACTGCTGCCAAAGCTGCACTGATTTTGTGTGCATGTCACATTAGAGGTACTTCAGAGGCAGAGAGAAGGTTTGACCTTTAGTTTCTCACTGCAACAGGAATGAAAAATAGAATAATCTAAAGATAACAGACTGCTACACAGCAAATTCAAAAGTGTTAAATAATATGGTGTTAGTAGACTTTCTTCAAAGGCAGTGTTAATTTAGCACTTAATAGAGTTATATTAAACAAATATAACTCTGAGGTGTCACATATTATGAGTTAAAACAGAGTGTTAAATAAATAGTGTTACATACTAAATCTGCAGGTGTTAAAATGGAAAAAAATAACACTTCGTCTATCAACTCTGAACTCCTACAGTGGATTTGACACCCAAAGAGTACATTCACAGACTCCGCCTCCAATGCTACAGGTACCGAACGAAGCTGAGGAAAACTTCAGTCTCCATTTAGTGTTATTCGGACCCGTTTACCCAACCTGGTAAGTAATTTCTCTCAGATTGTTTAAATATTTTATTTGCTTTCTTACTCTATGGCGTTGTTTGATACAAAATAGAGCCGTGTGATAGACATTTGCTACGTTGCATTAGCTACATTGCTTCGGTGATAGCCTGATAGTCAAAATGACTGGCTTCACAGAAGTAACAATTAATTTACTGATTGTCTATGCAGTTCAGTAGTGCAAAAATAATCTTTATTAAATTTCCTCACAGGAGATGCTTGTAAAGGTGGAATATAGGGGAGTGCAGAAGTACAATAAAGTTCCACAAAGTGATTAATGCTTTTATTACTCCCAGTTTCTTCAAGATTGTTTGTATTCATATGAAATTTAAAGTGGTGTAAATTAATCTCCAATGTGACAAATTTATAGTAAGGCTTTATTTTATGTTTTAGTTAAATTTAATTTCAGTTTTCTTTTTTTCAGTAACAGCTAAATTCTGCTGTGAGCTTCAGCTCTTCACAGAAGGTGTCCTCGTCCTTACTGATACCTCGGACACTGAAGTTGGCTCAGACATTTTTGATGAACTTCTAAGGTCTGGGGTTCGAGCTTTCATGCTTGGATACCAAAAGCAGCTAGCAACAGGTAAAACTGATTCATAATAATCTGGAGTAAATTCCTTTATGATGTTTAATTCATATTTGAATATTGGTGCAATGTAAAAAAAAAATCCTACCCAAGTTTTATTTCTTTGAGTTAAAGAATACTGTTGAATACATATCAAATACAATTATTTTGTTGTGCATTAGTCTAATTGTAATTTATGCACATGGCTTTTTGGTGTTATTTTCTAGATATTGAGATCAGTTTGGTTGAAGATGAATTACAATCATCAGTGCAGGCCACCCCTCTTGTCACTCCAACATCACCAGTTTCACTGTCAGACCATTCCTCATCCCCTGCTTCTTCTTGTTCTTCGGATTCAACTCTTATCCTCAAAAGTACAAAGAACAGAAAAAAGGGCCAAGAAGAGCTTGATCGTGATGATGCAAAACAGGTCAGAAGCAAAGCCTATAGCCAGTTATTGGTGTTGATATTAATTTTAAAAGCAGTAGCCTTTGGGCCAGCTACTAGAGGTTAATCAGAATATGCATTTTTGTTTTACAGATGGTGTATACAGTCCTGAGGTCAAACCCAAAGGGTGAAGAAATCTTCAATGAATATCACAAAACTAAAACGCTCTCAGATGCAACTCGTCGGCAAATGGTCAACATACTGGTCGCAGATATGATAGAATCTCATGGGTATAACTCTTTTGATGATCAAAGAAATCCGTATTCACTGACCAGAGTAGTGATACTTCTTTTTGTTTTCAAAAAGAGGATCCCAGCCATAAGTGTTCGGACTAACTATGCCCTGGGGATTGCAACTCTTTTTCCATATCTTCAGGATCCATCCTTAAAAAATGGTTATGTATGTATTCTGTCTGAAACTCCACATATATGTAATTTTGCCATGTAATTGCAGTTTTGACAAATAAGTGTCCCTTTGTGTAACTCCCACTGTTACTACACAGAAGTCACTTGTTGGAATGTGTGGATCTGTTGTTGCTCACTTACAAGCTTCTGGTCTTTCTGAAAGTGCTGTTCAAATAATAATTTTTTCTGTTGAGGAAGCTCACCTATGTCAGACCTTTTGACAGGCAACATTCTAATAAAAGTGAGAACATGTATATTGTTCCACATTGTTACATGTTTTGAAAAAACATTTTCTAATTGTGGTGCACTTTTGGAATAAATATTTGCTGAAAAGAAGAAAGATTGCTTCTTTCTTTATTTATTTTTCCCAAGGGATTTTTATATGTTCAGAAAAGTAAAATTTCCAGCATTTAGTTTTAGAGAATAACTCCTATGTAGTTAGGAAAACATTCCATGAGAGTGTTAATATTCCAATTCTAACACCGAGTTGGTGTAATTAAGTGTTAAATTATCAACTCCAGAAAGATTTATTTTTTAACACTAAATAAGAGTTACGGTGCCATCTCTCCAAAAAGAGTCAAATTAACTCTCTCTGGTGTGGACCCATATAGACACTTCAAGAGTGTTAAAATCAAATCTGACAGTGTTAATTTGAGCATGTTGGATTTGATGTGTAGAAGGAAAGAAGTCACTGCTGTGATTAAATATTATTTCTTTTGAGGTGCAAATCTTTATTAGGTAGCTTCTTACAAGTGTTTTTCTTGGTTCTTTAATGTTTAGCTTAAAGATGTAGGGGGATAAATAAAGGAATTGGAGATTGATAAGGAAAAAAAAATCTAAGCTTAAAGGTCAATCAGAGTGATGGGGGAAGTGGTGAGAGGGGATAAGGGAGCAATTCAGCCAAGACCAACGGTTGCTGCAGTGTATAAACCTATGAAGGGTAATTTATCCAGCTTAGCATCTTGCCAATATCCCAGCCATCAGAACCTCTGTAAGCCTGCCATCTGCTTTCACTTTTTTCTCCTGCCACACTACTGATTCATGGTTGGTTTCATCTTGGAGTGGACATGCGTCAGGGCTCATTTATGAACAAATATCTTAACGTGGAGGGGTAGTGTATTTAATATTTTGCAAAATTACATCTATTTTTAGTCAGGGAAATACATTTTTGGTAGGTTAATTCCAGTTCATGTATATGAAAATCATAAGGAATGCGATTAGAGGTTTAAGCAGCGGGATAAAAGTTTTTTTATAATGTTCACCCAGCCTTACTTGATAATTTTAGAACTGGAACCTTCGTGTTTTTTTACATTGATGTCTTTTAACTTGCATTATTATGATGCTAAAAAACTGGGGACCTAGCCTCACAACAAAAGTATAAATTTAAAGATATCATTTTTAAATAATATAAAACTTGATAAGCACAGGAGTAGAGCTCACAACCCATTACTCACTAAACATATTCCTGTTAAACTCTTACATTCAGTGATAACCATAAGAGATTTTCAGAAAGTATTGTCATGCAATTTTTAATTTTTTATTTTAGTACATGGTGTAAAAAGTATTTCTTTATGAGTAATGAACATTTAAAATTCCATATCTTCTTTTAAAATGCAGATTTAAAAAAGGTAGTTGTGATTCCTGCTATGTATTTTTCAAATTATACCTTTTCTAGCTCTGGGATATGATAAAATATTTACTTCTTAATGAAAGTAAACTGCTGTTTTGAGAAAATGGATTATATTTGTTGTCTGATTACCATTAGGTTGAGAATTTACTGTTTTCCGCTTCAGTTAGTTACTATAAGTATGCTGACGTTAGATAAAATGGCGGGACCCCTTGACACCATATATGGGCAATCCTTTTACCACAAAGAAAAGCAAATGAAAGCATTCAAGTAAGAAAATCAACAAGCAAAATGTGAGGCAGCGTCAGCAGCTCCACCAAGCCTCACTTCACAAAATTCTAAACTATCCCTTTAAGCCATTACCACGTCCAACCTAAATGCAAACCATTGATGTTCAAAGTTGCTATTTTTTTGTTCTGGATGACGACAAAAGAAAAATATACAATCAATAAGCTATTTGAAGCCATTTGAAAATCCACAGTGCACATCAATTACCCTGTCAACCGTGTGAAATAAAAGAAGAAATATAATTTATGAGTTCCCCCAACAGGTTTTTGTTGCAACCTAAAGCAATAATACACCTCCAGTCTGGTGCTCAGCTCAACTCTTTTCACACACTGCCACCTCACCAAGGGATACTTAGAGTATATATTTTTTGCAACCTCAGAGGACACTGTGTCAATTATTCTGGGTATGGTCCTATGGACGGCTTCATTCCCTAATCAAAATAAATAGCCAGGGCAGCAGAAAGTGAATGGAGTTAAGCCCCCAATATTCCTTCGAGACGGGGAAGGGGACAGGGAGTGGGGGGTGGCTTGGCCACAAACAAATCCATTACCACAAGGTAAATAGGACACATCAGCAGTTTTCATTTGAATAGAACAAGCCTAGTGACCACCTATCTAAAGGAGGTCCATTTTACAGGCAGGGACTGATTGCATACATTTCCTTACTTTCCTTTTTTCCTCTGCACACTACCCTGCAGACAAACTTACATAATGCATTCCAGGCATAAAGTCTTCCACACATATCCACCTCAAACTCAAAGTGGCTGTGACTAACAGGAGAAATCCAGCTACCTGCCTGGAAGATGTGGTGAAATTATAAGTTCAAATTCTAATCTAATACATTAGCTTAATATGGTCTCAGGTAATTCATGGGAGGATAAGTGGTTGGAGGTGTTGACCATTGGAGGTAGGGGGTGTGGGTCATTAAATCTAGTCATAATAAAATTAAGTGTTTTTCTTCCTCCGCACGTTTTCCTTCTCACCAGCTGGTAGTGATTTCACTTTCAGGGTATATATAATTTCAGCTGATAGTGAGAAAGTTCCACTTTAGGGCGCTCATTTCCCCCCCCTCAGTCAGAAAGCCTTCAAGGCTCCTGCTACTCAGCGAAATGTTCATACGTTCAAAATTTATCTGCCATTTTGCTTCCTCATAATAAACAAAACCTTATCAGGATTTTAGTTGAATTTAAAAACAAACCGATAGGTGTAGCTGTATATATAGTAATATACAGTATTAAACAATAAAAAAAAGAATATCATAACAGAGGGTTTACTGGTTTGACAGGATTAGTAAAAAAATAACTAAATAAATAATAAAAAAAAAAAAAAAAAAAAAAAATATATATATATATATATATATATATATATATATATATATATATATATATATATATATATATATATATATATACACTATATTGCCAAAAGTATTTGCTCACCTGCCTTGACTCACATATGAGCTTAAGTGACATCCCGTTCCTAATCCATAGGGTTCAATATGACGTCGGTCCACCCTTTGCAGCTAGAACAGCTTCAACTCTTCTGGGAAGGCTGTCCACAAGGTTTAGGAGTGTGTTTATGGGAATTTTTGACCATTCTTCCAGAAGCGCATTTGTGAGGTCGCACACTGATGTTGGACGAGAAGGCCTGGCTCTCAGTCTCCGCTCTAATTCATCCCAAAGGTGTTCTATCGGGTTGAGGTCAGGACTCTGTGCAGGCCAGTCAAGTTCATCCACACCAGACTCTGTCATCCATGTCTTTATGGACCTTGCTTTGTGCACTGGTGCACAGTCATGTTGGAAGAGGAAGGGGCCAGCTCCAAACTGTTCCCACAAAGTTGGGAGCATGGAATTGTCCAAAATGTCTTGGTATGCTGAAGCATTCAGAGTTCCTTTCACTGGAACTAAGGGGCCAAGCCCAGCTCCTGAAAAACAACCTCACACCATAATCCCCCCTCCACCAAACTTTACACTTGGCACAATGCAGTCAGACAAGTACCGTTCTCCTGGCAACCGCCAAACCCAGACCCGTCCATCAGATTGCCAGATGGAGAAGCGCGATTCGTCACTCCAGAGAACGCGTCTCCACTGCTCTAGAGTCCAGTGGCGGCGTGCTTTACACCACCGCATCCGACGCTTTGCATTGCACTTGGTGATGTATGGCTTGGATGCAGCTGCTCGACCATGGAAACCCATTCCATGAAGCTCTCTGCGCACTGTTCTTGAGCTAATCTGAAGGCCACATGAAGTTTGGAGGTCTGTAGTGATTGACTCTGCAGAAAGTTGGCGACCTCTTCGCACTATGCGCGTCAGCATCCGCTGACCCCGCTCCGTCAGTTTACGTGGCCTACCTCTTCGTGGCTGAGTTGCTGTCGTTCCCAAACACTTCCATTTTCTTATAATACAGCTGACAGTTGACTGTGGAATATTTAGGAGCGAGGAAATTTCACGACTGGATTTGTTGCACAGGTGGCATCCTATCACAGTTCCACGCTGGAATTCACTGAGCTCCTGAGAGCGACCCATTCTTTCACAAATGTTTGTAAAAACAGTCTGCATGCCTAGGTGCTTGAATTTATACACCTGTGGCCATGGAAGTGATTGGAACACCTGATTCCAATAATTTGGATGGGTGAGCAAATACTTTTGGCAATATAGTGTATATATATATATATATATATATATATATATATATATATATATATATATATATATATATATATATATGAGACATCTGACTGAAAATCATAGGGCATAAAGTAAGCAAATGACCTGACTATTTTACAACTATTCATAAAATTCAGGCCACAATTTCACTGATGCAGATTTCAGAATGATAAGGCTCGAGCATACGTTTATTCAATGGGTCAGCATTAGGTTTAAACAGGACTAAAATTACAGTCAAATATGATACCTTGCAAAATAGATTCAGCTGGATCAGTGCAAGATACATTTTTAC